GATGTAATCCATGTACAGGAAGTGGCTGATAGTGGCCCTATTTATGAATCGGTATCCATAGCCAGTGTTGTTCATCATTTGGCTGAGTGGGTTCAGGCCTATACAGAACAGCAAGAGTTACAGAGCATCTAATTGGTATATTCCACATGTGATGGAGAGTTTTGCAATTGGCTTAAAGTTGGCCTCAAGTGTGGTTTTTTCCACAGCCCCAAGGAGTTTTCAGTGAACGTTCTCAGAGCGCTGTTGATCTTGTACACCTTAATTCATTCTATGATCCATGTGTGTTACATTGTGTCATACTGTAGGAGTTCTTGTAATAAACCCAGGCTCTGCACAGGCCTGTTTGGTTATCACCGCTGTTCAATAATGAAAAATGTTAGAGGATCAATAATGATTAGAGCTCACTATGTTTTCATTCTATATTAAAACATAATCTTCTGGCTTTTAAAAAACTGTGGAGTTTAACCTCATCGTATAAATGTATACATTTTCCATATGCTGACAGTCATCTGCAGAAACGATCCCAAGTTAAACGTAATATCTGCCTTCCAGAAAACCTCTTTATTAGCATTTCTAAAAGGTCGATGCTTTGCTCCAATCTGCTGCAGGATCAATAAACGGTGCTTGATGCCGTCCACATTACACTGGGTTTAACTAAATGCACCGCTACAGTTTCTAAAAGTGTTTGTCAGATGAGGTTCACAAAAGATATAAGAGACATTAACAGAGATCTAAATGTTTGATGACAGAAAAACTGATCAGTCATCTGCTAATAAACAATAAAATGAGAGAATCAACACAATAAATAACTTAAACTGATCATAAAAAATATTTCTTTGATTAATGAGCAAGATTTAACTATTCTTGTTATCTTTTATAAATCTTCTCATCCTCATTGATTTGTTTGTGTCAGAGTCAGAGAGCCGTGTCTTTAACAGTCAGAGGTTTTTGTACGACGGCTCCATCAGTTTGTATCACTGTGGTACACGTTCGGTGGAGGAACCAGACTGACTGTTAACTGTAAGTACAACTAATCTAATTTAAATCAATCTTCTCTGCAATTTTATGTTTTAATTTTTTTACTTTGATGGGAAACTCATTTATTTTTTAATTTAGTTAATTAAAAAATGTTATAATAATTTAGTCAGTAGTAAATTAAGCTGCTAGTTTTATTTATTTCTTGTTTGTTTTTGAAAGAAGAAGCATTGAAAAAGCTTTGAATTTTGTCTCATGAAAAATGTTTCATTTACTTTTGGAAGCAGAGTGCGATATATGTAAACCCATAATATCAATGTCACTGTGAGTGCTTTCCTTGGCTCATATTTTCTCTGAGTCGTTGATAACAGCTTTTGAACTAAGAATGTCTGAACTGTCCCTTTTTTGTAAACATTGACGATACGGAAATAAAAAATCATTGTGAAAATTAGTTTAGTGAGAGACATTTAGGTAAAAGCACAGCTTGTTAAAGCAACAATAAAACAAGGAAAGTTTAATTTCACATCAATCAGAAATTTTAAGAAGAAATGTCAGTTGTAATATGCGGTACTGAAACCTGTCTGTTGCTCTGGTTGAGCAGTGATGCAGATGTGTTTCCATAGTAACAAA